TTTAAAATTTCTCGAATATTTTATTACGGTACGGGAAGTTCCAGCAATTTCCTTTAAGGCACCATGCCATACACCACTAGTTATTCTAGTTTTTTTGTTATCTCAGTACTTTTTATTCCAACATTTCTTACCCCCGTATTTTTTTAACTTAAATAGTAATTTTGATTATAATATCTTTTAAATCCAGTATTTTTTATGCAATATTTATTTAATATCGTTATTTATTATTCTAGTGTTTTTATACTTTAGTATTTTATATATTAGTATTTTATATATTAGTATGTCATCTAATGGTTCGCCCAAACTTTTTACCCTAGTTGTTTTTATTATAGCGTTTTTAAATTTATAGTATTTTTGATTCTAGTATTATTTTCTAATGTAAGATTTTTTTATTTCAGTTATATAAAAGAGAACTATGCCACCAAATTCATCAGAACCCATCGTAGTGGGTCTTTCGAGACCCACTGGCGTCTTAAACGAGACCGACGCTGAATTGCCCGACGGAGGAATCACGGCCGACGTGCAAAAACTCAAAAAAGCAGACAAATTACCAAGGTAATAAATAACTAACAATATATATATATATATATATAATATATATATATATATATATATATATATATATATATTTATATATATACTAGCAAACCCGACGAACTCCGTTTCGCCACCAGATGGTTTCGTGAGAAAAATGAAGAAATTTTTTGTTTGTTTTATATTTGAAAAGAAAAAAAAATGATTTTATTATGCAACAGTAATGAATTTATTTCGATTACAAAAATGAAGTGTTTTTTAGTTGAACTTCTCTAAGTAAATAAAAGTGAATCCGCAAATTATTCGTTTCATAGAAGTGCTCTTTGGTAAACCACATTTTTTGTTTTTTGGTCTGACGTTAACACAAACAAAGCGGATGGTTTTCCAACTCGTATAACTGCCCATGTAAAAAACAATGATTTTCTAAATAATCTATTTGAAATTTATCCCGCAAACACTAAGCGATTGGCCTTGCGACTTGTTATTGCGAACGCAAGCAAATTGCAATTGTTTGAAGTCAAACGGAAGACCAGTCGGAATCATTGGTATGTCACCAAATCGCCAGCAATTTTTGATTGAATGGTGCAATTCAATGCGTGTACATCATTATTCTTTGCGGCAAAAATTGCTCGTTGACTTAACCAAGCATAATTCTGATAATTCTCACTAATGTCATTACTCAAATTTTTAATTACGGTGCGAGAAGTTCCAGCAGATTGCATTAAGGCACGATGCCTTGCACCACTAATTTTCTTAGCTTTAAACCTTGCGGAGCCCGAGACCTTTCCAACGAATGCAAAATTGTCAAAATCGATTCTGGAGTTATTTCGTCAGGAAGGAAAATCCGACTTATTGTTATATATATAGAAGATATATATATATATTTCAATTAGTAAAAATTATTTAAGGACTTAAATCGGTCCACTATAGTACCTACTATCACGAGTATCATATTGAAGAAATTTATGTTTTATCCCGAATGTTTAATTTTTTTGTCGAAATTTGTACTTTGTAAAATATGTATTTTGCTAATTATTATTACTGTTATTATTATTTTTTTAGAAAATTGGTTTGGAGAAACATCTTAGCTTTTGCCTACCTGCACGTCGCCGCCTTATATGGAGCTTGGCTCATGTTAACAAGCGCCAAGTGGACAACTTGCGCTTTCGGTAAGGAATTTTCGGAAAATTTTGGAAAATATATACATTAGGGTGGTCCTTAATATGGACATTTTCGAAATTGAAATGACAATTCTCTGAAAGTTTTAGCTCCTAATATTAACTTTTAGATAGTGCGCAATTCAATCAAACTTCGTATGGAAATAGCATGGAAAAAATCTTGAAAATTAAAAAAAAAAATTGTTAGGTATAACTTAGCGACAAATGAATGAGTTTTATTCATTCATTTGTTCGCTAAATTACATCTAAAAAACATTTTTAAAATTTTTGAAAATTTTTCCATGCTATTTCCACACAAAACTTTGATTGAATTGCGCACTATCTAAACGTTAATATTAAGAGCTAAAACTTTCCGAGAATTGTTTTTTATCAATTTGGAACCATTTGAGCACCTGGGAGCAAGGAAATTCGAAAATGTCCATATTAAGGACCACTCTAATATATATATATATATATATATATATATATATATATTATATTATGACCTGTATTTTTTATTTTTAGCCTTATTCCTATACACACTCTCCGGTTTGGGAATTACAGCAGGAGCCCACAGGTTATGGGCCCACAGATCCTACAAAGCAAAGTTACCACTTAGGATTTTATTAGTTGCCATGAACACACTTGCATTCCAAGTAAGTTATGATTTATTTAAAAAAAAGAGTACGTTAAGTAAAAATAAATACATCATGTAACAATTTTGAATTAATGTTTATCAGTAATATGGTAACACTCGCGTGATGCACACATTTATTAGTGTCGTCAATCATTAGACACATTTATATAATGATAAATTATAAATTATAATATTTATAATACCATTAAAAATATGAATAATATTTAAAAACAATAATGTAATTAAAGTCACACTTCAAATATGATATGATCGGTTTGTCATTGTAATTAGCATTTGGTAATGAACCTTTATCAGAGAAATGAAGTAATTGCTGATTAATTTCTATTTTTTAGGATTGCGCCATGCACTGGGCACGCGACCACCGCGTGCACCACAAATACTCCGAAACCGATGCAGATCCTCATAACGCGACCAGAGGGTTCTTTTTTTCGCACATCGGATGGCTTTTGTGCAGAAAGCACCCCGATGTCATCGAAAAGGGTAAAAAATTAGACATCAGCGACCTGAAAGCCGATCCCGTGCTTCGATTCCAGAAAAAGTAATATAATAGACTATATATATATATATATATATATATATATATATATTAACAAAGTCTAGTAATTGGGCATAACATCAATAAAAAACATGAATTTCTTTTAAAAATTTATTTTAAATCCATACGTTTCGGCTATAATCCTAGCCTTCATTCAGTGGAAACTAAAAATAAAATTAAAACTAAAACAATTGAATTGGAGTGAAAAGAAAAAATAAAATGGTAAATAGTACTCACAATTAGTTTATCTTAGTATTAAATTGGAAAATTTTAATAATCCATGGCATCAGGATTTGGTAATACACTACACTATGTATTATAAACATCAAACTTGTAAATACACAATATTTTCAACAAAATACTAATTTAAAAAATCACAATTGGATAGTGTGTAATTCGTAGACTGGTTGAAGATATAATGGAGAAAGGACATTTTAAAAAATATTTTTTACCCGCTATGATAATTGATCAATTTAATAACGTCAATAAAAAATTAAAATTTACGGTAGAATTGGAGACAATGAATTCGATAAGTTTCTTAGACATAAAACTTATACGTACTACTGATAACAAACTATTAACAACTTTGTGTAAAAAACCAACTAACTCTGGACGCTACCTTAATTATTTTTCTTATCATCCACTCAAAATAAAAATAGGTACTATAATAAATCTAACTGACCACGCAATACTTCTATCGGACAAAACATTTTGGGACAACAACATCAATTTAGTTACGAAAATTCTAACAAATAACTCGTATCCCTTAAAACTTATAAACTCCGTAACCTTTTGAATAAAATGAACAATTACACAGTACAAAACGATTAACCATACATTAAAAAATTGTATGTTCCTTGGAAAAAACTTTTTTATAAATCCGGACTCCGACTTGTAAACAATTTTAGTACAACGACCAGTACTATTTTTACCAAAATAAAAACCCTTTTTAATATCGAACGACTTAGAAATCTCGTCTATCAAATAAATTGTCTAGATTGTAATTTAATTTACATAGGAGAAACAAGCCAGAACTTAATGAAACGTTTACAACAACATAAAACGATTCAAAAAATCCGATACAATTTAAAACTATGATTGCGGAGCATATTTATACTTTAAAACACAATATGGACTTTTCTAACCCGACTGTACTACAATTCGAACAAAATTTATTCAAACGAAGAATTATAGAAGGATCTTTTTTAACTATTTATAACAATAAATAAACGGAATGAATTTAACACGCTGTGCGACATTATTTAGATAGTATTTCCAAATTTCTCACAAAACAATAAAAACGACGCGCAAAGGATTCGCAATTCGTTCCACATATGTGTAGAATCTTGGTAAAAAATATTTTTTGAAATGTCCTTTCTCCATTATATCTTCAAACAGTCTACGAACAACACATTATCCAATTGTGATTTTTTAAATTAGTATTTTGTGAAAATATTGTGCAATTACAAGTTTAATGTTTATAATACATAGTATAGTGCATTACCATATCCTGATACCATGGATTACTAAAATTTTCCAATTTAACACAGACATTAATTAATTGTAAGTACTATTTTTTATTTTATTTTTTCTTTTCACTCCAATACAATTGTTTTAGTTTTTAATTTTATTTTTAGTTTCCACTGAATGAAGGCTAGGATTATAGCCGAAACGTATGGATTTAAAATAAATTTTTGAAAGAAATTTATGTTTTTTATTGATGTTATGCCCGATTACTAGACTTTGTTAATACATATGTCAACATCAAATTCAGAATCATACAATATATATATATATATATATATATATATACATACATATATATATATATATATATATTTGTCCAACTGATGGTAATTAATTTGTTTTTATATTTTAGATACTACATGACTCTCATGCCTTTGACTTGCTTTATAATCCCAACGTTGATCCCTGTTTACTGGTGGGGCGAAACCTGGGCTAATGCCTGGTTCGTGTCCACCTTGTTCAGGTATACTTTCATCCTGAATGTTACCTGGTTGGTGAACAGTGCTGCACACAAATGGGGCGACAAACCATACGACAAGTAAGTTGAACTAGTGGGGTGTATGGCATCGTGCCTTAAGGCAAATTGCTGGTACTTCTCGCACCGTAATTCGAGAAATTTTAAATGTTTTCAAATATATTACAAATACTGTAACTTTCATTACTGCCTAATTTACACAAAATTGAAAAAGCGCTCCCGTATAGTCACAGTCTAAACGCATTTGTAAATAATTCTGTGCGACATTTTCACTTGTACTGTGCTTAGCTTGGCGGCATTTTCACATTTTTCAATAGTTTTCTCACAAAATTGGAAAAGGCAAAAGCACAAAGGCAAAGCACGACGATTGTTAATGTTCTGGAGATAAATTGATATATGATTTACATTCGATTTGCTCAGATATAACAATAAGATAGCATAAATAATGAAAGTTACAGTATTTGTAATAATATATTTGAAAACGTTTAAAATTTCTCGAATATTTCAAGACAAGAATATTCCTAGACAAGATTTTTGGAATATATTTTTTAAAAATATGACATTTTTTGTAAATGAGTAGAGTTGCTTTTTTAAGGTGATTTTACTATTTCTGGATATTTCAGAATATTGTTCAAATACAAAAAATATAAAACTGACCAAAAGTTTACTAGTAAATTTATGAAAAATCAAATTATTCACAAGGACCCTGGGCTTTCTCCATTATTTTTAAATGATGATGATGATTAATATAACTTTAAGTTAAGAATTTTTTTAAAGTGTGTAGAGTGACTTGGTATATTTGTGTAAATATGACTTTGCTGAAGTATTGCTTAAATGTAAAAAATATAAAAGTGTCTTAAAATCTCATAGGAAATTCTTAAAAATTCATAGAATCCTGTTTTGAAAAAATCCAACTATATTTTGTTCATGTTCTTGGGCTTGTAGTTCATTTCTAAAGCAATATAAGAATAAATAGTCTTTGTAAAGATTTTAGAAAATTTTATCTAGATTTCATTGTCTTCAGACCAAAAAACTCTATCTTAATTCAAAAAATAGTTACGTTAAAAAAACATGAAAAATGAACAGTGCATACTTAAAGGTAACATCAAATGCTTTTTGGTATAAAAATCCACTTATATTTTGTGCATGTTCCCGGGTTTGTAGTTTATTTCTAAAGCTATATACAAAGATATAGTCTTAACAAACTATTTAGGAAATTTTATTTATATTTTATCACCTTCAGACCAAAATTAACTATCTTGATGCAGAAATAAGTTATATTCGCAAAACCCAAAGAAATGTGCTGTCTGTCATCAAAAATTTTGTGAAAACTATTGAAAAATGTGAAAATGCCGCCAAGCTAAGCACAGTATAAGTGAAAATGTGACTATACGGGAGCACTTTATCAATTTTGCTCAGATATAACAAACAAAATAGCAAAAATAATGAAAGTTACAGTATTTGTAATAATATATTTGGAAATATTTAAAATTTCTCGAATATTTCATTACGGTACGGGAAGTTCCAGCAATTTGCCTCAAGGCACCCTTAACACCACTAATTTTCACTTAATCTGGCAGACAGGTAAACACATAATTGATACTATTATAAATATAAATATAAAGATGTCAAACGGAAATCAAAAAATTTTATCAGATCGTATGTTATGAATCAAAGACGAAAAAACTAGAAGAGCGATAGAATAAATTAATAGCTTCCTAAATTCAATGAATTTACACTAAACTTAAGGATTTTGTATGTTTATAATTTTGTTAATGTATTAATATATAGCTATGATAGCCCAAAGAATTAATAAAAACCGTATTAATAATTACATATACATATACAATAATATTAGGTTGTCAAATATCTCCCTTCCGCTTTTTTGCTCTTGGTTTATAATACAAAAAGGCGGAAGGGAGATATTTGACAACAAATTTGACATTTTGATATATATCTATTATTCCTTTACCTTAGAGAGATCAGTCCATCCGAGAACCCCTCAGTGGCGATGTTCGCCCTCGGCGAGGGCTGGCACAACTATCACCACACCTTTCCCTGGGACTACAAAACAGCCGAGTTGGGAAACTATCGAATGAATATGACGACGGCCTTCATCGACTTCTTCGCCAAAATAGGCTGGGCTTACGATCTTAAAACCGTTTCAGACGAGATCATCAAGAAGAGGGTTGAACGCACAGGTGACGGTAGTCATAATTTGTGGGGCTGGGGCGATAAGGAGCAGCCTAAGGAGGAAATCGAAAATGCTATTAGGATTAATAAGAAGGATTAAGTAGATCGAGAAGTAAGGTGATGTGTTGAGAGGAATAGATTTTTTTACTTTTGTTTAAAACTGTTTACTTTGGGATAAAACATAAATTTCTTCAATATGATACTCGTGATAGTTGGTGCTACAATAGGCTGATTTAAGGGGCACAACTAGTGTAACCGCCTAAAAAAAAGGTGATTTTTGGGAATTTATATTAAAAAAAATACTTTATCAATCATTTCAAAATTTTAGGAATATATTTACACGCGTTTTAAGAATACATAGTAAAATTTTTGATGAACAAAATTAAATATTTTTTAAGTTATCGTCGATCTCCAACGGCGCGACAAAAAAACGCCCTTCACTGCTGCAATGATTCCGGCCTTCTACGCGCATGAAATTTAACAAAATAATTCTCATTAAACTAAATAATATTGTCTGTAAAATTAACTACGATAAAGAAAAACAATCAAAAATTGACAAAATGACGGCGTTTTTTTTTAAATCGAATTTTACCCAAAATTTTGGTCCAAAAATTCGATTTTTGATCCGTTCAAAAAATCAATAAGTCATTTTACGGAGAACTATATATAAAACATGTAAAAAAAAATTCGATAGTGATCGGATCATTTGTTTTTGATTAATCGCTCGGAAAATGCCGTTTCGAGAAAAACGCGTTTAAAGATAAAATAATCGTTATACTATATACCATATATATACTCTTTAAATGGCTATGACTCAAAAACTGTTTAGGATATCGATTTAAAATTTTGGTATGTTATTTTTAAATGTGTATAACCTATCGAAATATGAAAAAATTGAAAATTCGATTTTTTGAAAATTTCACACTAGTTGTGCCCCTTAAGAGGGTTGTTCTTTTTTTGTTACAAAACATGCAAGGTATTTGTTTCTGTTTTTCTCGAAGTGTATTTATCATATTGACACGCGTTTTTTTTTTAAACAAAATTACAAAATCATAGAATATTAAGAAATGTTTTATTGTTATTTTTTCGCCGTCATTTTTTAACCAGGGGCCGCCAAAGTCGGCCTTGCAAAACCGATCTCTTTTGCGGTGCCACAGATAAATTCGTTGCGCATCGCCCGAAACAAAAAAAAGAAACTGCGTTGAAGAAGAAGTTTGAATCCAGGAAGAAAAAAATGGCAGCTATTTTAAAAAAAAGTGTTAAAAATTTCCTTTTTTTGCGTAATGTTATCAAGTAGTTTGAGGTAGGGAGACTAGGTATTGCAGTGGTGAACAAATTAAAAAAAAATGCAAGTCCATCCGACTTGTATTTTTTTTTTTAATTTGTGGCACCGCATTGAAAAAAGTCAATTTGAGAAAAACGTGTTTAAAGTTTTTAATACAATGTACTAAATACACCATTTAATTTAATGCACTAAATACACCATGGTGTTCAAAGATGCTGACACATTACAAAAGTCATGTGCATGAGGTATTATAATGAAAAAGAGAGCAGCTGGCATACAATAGCTCGCGGAGCGATGAAAAAAACGCTTTCAGAGGATCATACATATAGATATATATATATATATATATATATATATATATATATATATATATATATATCTATAACTTCGTCAAAAAAATAGATATTGAGATGATTTTTTTTAAATAATTCTAAAGTTTTTAGCTTTCATAATATCAAAAAACCTCAAAACCGAAAAAAAAAATAAAAACCGAACAACCTCCTTAATTGGAAAGATTTAGGGTTTATTTTGTCTTGGTAATTGTAAAAAAGTTTATTCGCCTTGGCACATCACTGTTTGGATAGCTAGTACATTTTTGTATTTATTTTTGTGGCAAAAACGAATTAGAATTTATATAAATCTACTTATTATTTACTTTCTGGAATTTATTTTTATAAAATTTTAAATTACCTTGTATAGGGTTCGCCAAATAACTTTTTTTTTACAAACTACTGAATATTTTCTCAAATTTCTTTTTTTATTTGAAAGTACAATCCTTTCAGTTAATAATGAAATTAATTCATTCAATAATGATTATAATAATTTCATTCAAAAATGCAGAAAAAAAGTCTCTTCAGTACTAATTTTCTTGTTTTCCTTTTTCCTTTCAAATTAATTAAATAACAACTGTTTAGAAAAACATAGGATAAATTTTTTTTCCCAAAAAAAATTTGAATTTTAGTCAATAACACTGCTGTACGAGTCGGAAAGCCGCCCAAGTAATTGTTACACATAATAAAACTAAAAATATCAGTAACAAATTAGAATTCTCGTTGATTTAACTAAGAGTGATACATGTTTAAACTTTTAATCGACAAACTGGATGTCGTCTATAGGCGACACTCGTACACACAGGTCGCCAAGCGGCTTATTTATTTTGTTCGAACTAAACACATTTTTTAAACATGATAGAATTTTGGAAATTATTTTTTTTTGCAAGAGGTATGGGTGTACTGTTTAATTATTAAAAAAATTAATAAATTTTTTAAAAAATGTTATAAAAAAATGTACTAGCTATTCGATTATTATTTTGGAAGGAGTATATATATAAATGTTTTTTAGAAAAATTATTTTTAGGAAAATTTGAACAAAATTATATTTTTGCTTTATTCACTACACCTCCTACGTGCATATTTTTGTTTCAAGGCTTGTAACTCCTAAAGCATTCGTTTAGTATGAACGATGTTTTGAGCAAATTTACTTAAAATTAAATAATCTACAATATTTTGTAACATCATGACACTCTACAGCAACTCGGTATAAAAAAACTGTGTGAGATGTACAATTTTGCTGCCGCCGGTTTTTGCAAAGAACTCGTATTGGAAAAACGGCGGAAGCAAAGTTGTACACAATAATAATAATAATAATAATAATATATTTGTTCAAATTTTTCTTATAATTTTTCTACAAAACAGAAAATTTACCAAAAATTCTGCAGCAGCTAAAAAACACTTGAAATATTAATTTAATTTTAATTTATCAAGTGTTTTTTGTACATCAAAGACCAATTAATTTTTAAAACAATATTTAAAAATGTATAAGTTTTTATAAGTGTTTAAATAAAATATTATACATTTTTTTGCAACGTAACTGTTTCTTCGGACTGAATTTTCTTAGTTTGTTACATTTTTGTGTCGTAAAAGTTACGTACTAACAAGTTTTTTTAATGGGGGGCATGTTGACTAACTAAATAATAATTAAAGTAAATATTTATTAAAATTAATATATACAGTTTGTATGAGTAAAAAAAATGTAAGAGTCCGGAGAAATATTTATTTTACACCAGTAAACACTTACTTATAGTTAAACGTAACTTAAACGTAACATATATGAAACAAATAAATGTGTTTCGCAGTACAAATAACCAGCTTTATGTGTTTTACGTAACTTTAACGTTACACAAGTGTTTACTGGTTTATGTAACAACTTACTTTAATAATGAATTATATGAATATTATTATTATATAAATGTGCAGTAAATATATATATGTAGTCTGTTTGCATAGAAATAAATAATATATTTTATTGTTGACAAATGGCAAAACTGAATGTTGTGGATTAAGGTACAAAATTTAAAGTAGTACCTTTAGTAAATTTTTTTTATTCTCGATGATACTTTTTAATCTTAATGTGGTTTAAATTTAAGTCTTTTTGAAGATGAGGATTTAACAAGTAACAAATAAAAACAGAAAGAATTAACCCCTAAGCTGTGATAACTTATTTGTAGGCAGATCTTTGGATATGTATTTATTAATAATGATATATGATCGATAATGACTGTTGTTTTATTCATTTGACATCGAAATATAATCTTATTAATGCATATGTAATAGTGAAATTCAACCCTTATATTTTACCTACTTATATTAACTTCTCGTAGGGTAGTTATAGTAATGGGCCGAAAAACGAATATGAATTTTTTTGCATTTCTCGACGTTTTGAAGGTTTCTGAACATTTTAAGGCATACTTCAGAAAAAATGGATGTGTGTGTGTCCCTGATTAATACTTAATTTCATATTATAAATGAATTAATTTGTTCATATACTGTATCTTATATTGTTTTAATTTCTGGCACATCTCAGCTGCTTTTTGGCAATAATAATGTAGACATTACATTTTTCTTATTCATAATCATAAATTTATTATACATATTCTAATATTGTCTAGGTTCATAAGTAAATTTAAATTTTTGGCAGATGAAAGTTGTCATTTGTGTGTTTTGTATGTCCGCATTTTTTCGTCCACGTTTTCGGGCGCACGGATCAACCGATTTGAATGGTTTAAAAAACATTCGATTTCTGTTAATAGGGAGATGTGCTGATTAGTTTTTGGCAAAGGCAGGTCCAGCCGTTACGGAGTTATGGAGCAAAGAGTGCAAAAAATAGAAACCGAGTTTTTGAGAGAACGGATCATCCGATTTGTATGATCCAAAAAACATTCAGTTTGTAATAATGGGGTTATTGGTTTTTGGTAAAGGTAGGCCCAGCGGTTTCGGAGATACAGAGCTAAATGTTAAAAAAATGGCAGTTTTTGAAAGAACTAAGCGTCCGATTTAAATGATTCGAAGAACTTTCTGCTTGTTTCAACAAAATAATTGCTTTTGGAAAATTTGTTTCTAATTTTTTTTTCAAAAAATATTTTTGTAATTTTGGATTAAAAATTCGAAAAATCACCCAGGCTAAGCACAGTCTAAGCGCCACTCTGGTACAAATGTTCACGCAAGTGCGTTTAGACTGTTTATGTACTGGAGCACTTTTCCAATTTTGTGAAATCTATTGAAAAATGTGAAAATGCCGCCGAGCTAAGTACAGTACAAATGAATCGCACAGAATTATTTGCAAATGCGTTCAGACTGTGACTATACGGGAGCGCTTTTGAAATTTTGTTTAAATTAGGCAACTATTTTTTTTTTTGAAATTGAATTCGAAATGAAATGATGATTGTTAATGTTCTGGAGATAAATTGATTTATGATTTACATTTAACAAGATAGCAAAAATAATGAAAGTTCCAGTACTTGTAATAATATATTTGAAAACGTTTAAAATTTCTCGAATATTTATTTCATTACGGTACGGGAAGTTCCAGCAATTTGCCTTAAGGCATGATGCCATACACCACTAGTTTTTCAAAAATGTCATTAATGTTATATTTTGTCAGTTGCTTTAAATATTCTATTATAATTATATAATATAACCATCATTTAAGATAAATCTGTAGATTTACAGTTTTTTACTTCGACATCATGTTTACTTATCTATGTCAACATCTACAGTTTTTCTTTGGCCTATGCTTACTTATCTATGCTTTGGCCTATCTACAGTTACACGGCTCTAAACACCGGATTAATAAAGTGCTGAAACGAAAAAATCACGGTACCAACATTCAAACAATCAGAAATTCTTCTGAGCAGGCATACCAACAGCAGAGCATTCATATATGTCAAAACATTTGTCGCAACTGTCGAAACTTAACCTCAATTTCTTATTTTGATGTTTAGTAATAATTTTTCATTTAGTCAGAAATTTGTTGCAATATTGGATTTTTGTTATGTTATGGTAGATTTTTTCGAAACTTTGGTCATGTCAAGATCAGAACAACCGTCGCCACAACACTTATTCAATGTTATTCAATCTTTGTTTGTGGTTTAATATGAATTGAAGAACACTGGTAAACGTGAACTATTTTGTATGCACAAAATTTGCTTGATCACAAAAAATGTATAATTATGTAAGCCAAATACTGCTACATTTAAAATGGTGGTGGTATGCAATCAATTAGGCCTTTTACATTATTTTCCACTTTAATGAGGATTTTTATTTGTTTAAGTACAGAACTTAGCTTTACGAATAAAATTATATAATCAGTTAAAATTTATATAATTAAACTTTCCAAATATAAAATATCAATTACTTAAATTAATGGCTAGATATTTATATATTTCAAAGGATTATTATGGAGGAAGTGAATTAATTTTTATTACTCCAGTTCATTGTCTTAAAATGTATTTTTTTTGAGCTTATTTTAATAGATTCTCTTATTGAAATGTGAGAAATATTTTATATTTCTTATATAAAGTCATTTCTATATTACAGATAATTTATCTTCATGTAATTTCAATTACATGACCTCGTATGCAACTTTTAAATAAACATTACGAAACATCTCAATGATTAATTAATACAATCATTTTAGGAGTTCATTTTTTTACTTAATATGAATTATCATTTTGAAATTTACTTTTTAATATTAAAATTTGTTTGAGCTTTATAAAATTAGAAAGAACAAAGTTAAGCATATGAATTCAAAGAAAAGATTTAATAAAAAATTTATTATATAATACTTAATTAATGGTTCATAGTATGAAAAAATTTTCATTGTATGAAATAGTCAATCATATTAAATTCAAAATGTCTTCCACTTTTTGATTGTAAACTAGTAGTTTTATTTTATTCCTAACTAAAGAAATATGAATTTAAGTGTGATCTAATCCATATGTCCTTTACCCCCAGGAACACATGCTCCAGCAGAAGCTGCAAACCCTCGCCGGACCAGTGCTGGATCTCCCTCCCCTAGACATGGCAGAGGTTAAATTCACAGGCCGTGGCAGGCTCTATGTTGGCAATCTGACCAACGACGTTACAGAGGAAGAAATTATCGAAATGTTCAAACCCTATGGAGAAACCAGCAAACATTTCATCAACAAGGAGAATTCATTCATTTGGATTCATCCGCATGGACTACAGAGTCAATGCTGAGAAGGCAAAGCGTGAATTGGATGGCAGCATTCGTAAAGGAAGGCCTCTGAGGATTCGATTTGCACCCACAGCACTGCCATCAAGATTAGAATCTCACACCGTGGGTTTCGAATGAGCTGTTGTATAAGGCGTTTGAGATTTTTGGACCGGTGAGTAATAAAAAATGTCTCAGATTTTTTATTCTTCTTGTTAACATGTTTATTTGCAGACAAATAGTCTAAATAAAAAAACAATTTATTACAGTTTACAGTTTAGACATTTATGTGTCATCATTCAATGTTTTTAACAGGCTCAGCGAACTTTCAAAGATTACAATTTCTTAATATTTTTTTTTATAAAAACATTTAATTTATATTTATTATTAATGGATTAGCAAAATGATCTTAGCAGTATGCCCTATTATAAATAATGTTTTTTTTAAATTTGTTTCAAATTTCAATTTTTAAATTTGACTACATAACTTCAATTATATTTGATAAATTTATTATCATTTATAAATTTATTAGACTACATGACTTTATTCTATATAATTTTTTTTTTAATTAATTTTATAACTTCTTTTTTATTAATTTTCCAATTTCTGATTTTTCTTTTAATTTTTTGCAAAATTTAGATTTGACTACATTCATTCATTACAAATATAAATTTATTTTATATTCCTTATAATATTTAGAATCATTTCAAAATTTTTTTCACAATTTCTGATTGTTTCTAAAATTTTCTCAAATTTATCTTTGTCTATATTTTTTTTTTAATTTCTCATTTGAAACTTTTGTTCTATTTTCTTCAAATTTTAAATTTTATTGCATAACATTATCATTTATATACATACACACACACACATATCTATATATTATATATAATATATATATATATAATTAGGTATTTATCCCTATATTATTTAAAATCATTTCAAGAAATTTTTACAATTTTCTAACCTTACTTTTTTCAAAAATTAAAGTCT